AATCCCGTAAGGGTCAATGTTATAATGACAAAATCGTAAAAGATTTTACCATTAACATTCACATTTCCAAACCACGATTGATATAAAAATAGAAAATTCATCGGGATTATCGTAACCATGTGCATTAAAAAGAACTGGGATAGAAAACGATTATAACTATAAAAGTCTTGACAAAAATAATTGTGCTGGGTAATAAACAGTGTGATTGATTTATGAAGTTCGTGTGTGCTAATTAAATCATCGTGTTTTGTATTCCAAGCAATTATAAGGTTTGTATTAATATGTTTCATCAGCCTGGTGCAATATAGGTTTATCATAAAAATAAACGTGAGTCCAACTAAACAATCGGTACCCAATACGATAATTATAGTAATGTGTAAAATATGCGGTAGTAGCGAGATCATAAATGTGTAATATGTAAAATATTTTAATGCAATACCAATAAATAATGATGCCAAACCAAATACTGTAATTTTAAATTAAAATAATTGTTATATTAATTGCTAGTTTAATTTTAATATATTCTGCATTCAACAAGTACGTACGCACAGGGTTGGGTGGGTACTTTTAAAAATATATTCATTTAAATTTACTTCCTAGATAATTAGTAATGAAAATTTGCACGTACGTACTTATTTAATACACCCAAACCATATATACATACAAAACGTAACAAAAACAATGTTAAAGACAAAATAGATTATGCTTGCTATTTTCTTAATCGAGACAATATCACGGTGTCTAATTATGACCTTGGTTAATTTATCCCTAGAGAGCGTTACCCTAATAAATTCAAATATCAAACTCAATTGCATTTTATGTTCTGAATGACGTAGGTGCAAATTGTAAAATAACCAAATGCCGAATTGTTTTAATATGAGTGCATGTGTCCGTAATTGCTTATTGATAATTAATTATAAAATATAGACATTTACTGTGGCAATGATTTATTTTAACTAATTTATCATAGCTAAATTAGTTTATAACACGCTATCTTACAATTAATAAAATATTCAAAATAATAATTCAAAACTTCAATTAATGTATAAATAGCTTGCAGGGTCATTCACAATAGTACCCAAGGCAATTCCAATTATTAATAATATCAAAACTTATATTAATATTATCTTTGTAACTTTTGTTACAGTTTCTAACGTATATGAGATTGAAAATAAAAAGTTAATTCATTCATATAATATTATTAAAAACATTTTAGGAATACACAATAAAATATAAAAATAATATCCTGGTCAATGACCGGATTTTATTTATGATCCTGGCCTTTTATTACAAATATTTATTTATAATAAAAGTATTTCATAAAATCTTAGAGTAATATAATAAGTTAATAACCAAAGTACATTATGAGTTATAAATATAATACTAATATATATTGCAATGTTTAGTTACAGTCAACAGTACTAGTATAGTTATATACGAAAACATAATTTCAATAACAATTTATTGTATTTAATCAGATATAATGTACTGTATTATAGATATTCAGTTGAAATAGTAATATAATTATCAATGAAAGTAAATATTGCAATAAATTGTAATTATTTACTAAGATATTAATAAAATAAATATATTCCACCGTAAATATGAACCGGATAATAATAGTTTAATAAACAAATTATACGTATATAAACAGCAAACTATAAACCAAATTGTTATTATACATTAATACTTACAAAATTACTTACAATTAATATACAAAAATGAACCGTGCTACTCTAGTAATAATATTGGGACTGACATTGTTGGCAATTTCAATTGGCCTGGCTGTTGGTGAACCGGACTGCTTTTGGACCGGGTGTGTCGAGTTTAACAGGGCCACTTGCCCTGATGATTACCGTCAATTGACCAAGGAGCATTGTGGCACCTGGCAACAACGTTTGCTAAATTTTCAGCATAAATATTGCTGTAAAAAGGCTTAATTGACCATGGTGCAAAATGAATTAATTATTTTGGGTATACTTTCAAATTATTTTTAATAATAATTACTAATTAATTGTTATTCAAGTAATTAAATGAATATTATTTAACACTTTAAAATAATGTTGCAAATTATAAAATGTATGCCAAAAAACTGTAAATTTTAAAATTAAATAATAATAAAATACTTAATTCAAAGTGAAACTGTTTAGTTGGATACAAGTGCAACGATGAAAATAATATTTTTAAAAATATTAGCCGGGTCAATTAGTGGATGTTAATACAATATAAATTTATTTTCTTTAGTTATTTCTTAACTTTAAGTCTTTTATCTATACTTTTGTTTCTCATTGATATGATTCGTAGACTTAATATAATTGTCGGCCATATATACGGGTATATCACTGCTACTCACGACATCCCAGTCCTCAATAGATGGGTAATCATAGGGTGTGTCCATTATATCGGAAACTTTACGATAACCCAATAAATATATTATTAACTTTATGATACAAAACTTGGTCTAGTTTATTTTAAATCTCTATAAACTAAATTACCTTGAAATTTGAAATTGTGAGACAGGTAATTTGCCAATTGATAAATCACTGTATTGCTGTGCCTGTTGAGTACCTACCATTACTTTCGGGTTTAACTTATCATATAAATTATATACAAACTAAAATTGTTCATGCACAGTTTCTATCTGTAAATCTACTGTTTCACTATTTTGAAACCAATAATAACTAAATAGAGCGCCTTGGTCATACAAAAATGATGAGGCAATATTCAATGAATGTATTTATGACTCGTAATAATTAAAATTAAATTATTTATTTTGGGCTTAAAACCATAGTTCAGGTCAAAGGTTAGATGAGTATTAATTGAATATATATACAGTACACTCTCCATAATCAACTCCCTTATAGTGTACACCTCCTTATAGTGTACACTATTCAATTATTTGGCGGATTCTCTATACATTTAAGCGTATAAAACTCCCTTTATAAGGCACACTCAACTCCCTTTATAGTGTACTTTTCCCCATAAGATACGGTATTTCGAGACCTTTTTGAAGTTTTACTTTCTCGGCATTGTACTTTTACTTTGTGCGTATAATAAAACGTTTGTGACAAACACTACAAATAATTATAACATTTCATTTCATATAGTTTTAATACAAAAATGCTTGATTGTGTGAATTTCACAATTTCACACTGTCAAATGTGTTTTCAGTGCATATTTTGATGACATAGTATATTAAATGTTTTTAATTATCATATATTGTCCGACTCCCCCTTATGTGTACTTTCCCCATAGTGTACACTAACGAGAGAGTGTACTGTATATTATTTATCGATTTGATAGAGAACTAGAAACTGGAGTTTAGTACAATTAAATTCACAATAAAATACCTTTCAAACTGTAATTAATCTAATCAATTGATAACGCATAAAGTTTATTCAATAGAAATTCATTTATTAAGTAACGCGAGTACCCGGTTCATATTATTTCAAAATAATTTTATCGTTTAATTCATTTAGTATAAATAGCGTGGTTAAAAAACAAACTATTCACAAGTTTTATAGCAATTATTACAAATTAAACATGAAAACTTTACGTAAGTATTAAAATAATTTATTTTTAATATTGCAATCCTTGTCAATAAATTTTATATAATTTTCTAAAATATTATATTTATATTACAGTATTGGCGTTCACATACATAGCACTACTGGACCAGGTATACACAAAATGTCCCTCACCGACCCTGATCAAACCGTGCGAGTGCTTTGACTATGTCGAATTCGAACAACTAGATTGCTCATTTATCAAAACCACGGACATTAAGGGAGTGTTTCAGAATATAAGCAAGGCACTCGACGAAAAGGACAGGCAATTTGTTACGTTAAAACTATTCGATATATACGCCACCGAATTACCCGCGCACACATTTGCCGATTTGAAATTTAACTATGTACTTATTAGCGCGTCAAAAATAAAACATATTAACACACACGCGCTTAATGGTACCGCTGATACGGTAATGTACCTAGAGTTTATGGGCATGAACCTGACCGATAATGCCGATATATTCAACGTGGTAAATACGCTAGATAAGCTGGAAACATTATCTATTGGCAATTGCAATTTAAAGACAATCCCCGAAAATGTCATTAAAGATCATAAGAAGTTAACGTCGCTTAAGATATCGAGCGAAAAATTGGCCAAAATCTCGGGCAACGCGTTCCGAGCGCTGGGAAGTAGTCTCCGATATATGGAGATATCGAGCGCTAACATCACCGCTATCTCTGACAATGCCTTCGCGTTCGACGACTCGTTGAAAACAAACTTACGATTAGTATTGGATAATAATATCATTGATATGAGTGGTGTAAGTAAGTCGGCGTTTAAGGGCGCTAAACGACCCGTCTCATTGGTATTATTAAATGATAATACTATCGCATATTTGGATGAATCAACTTTTGGCACATTTATGACTGAAAACCCGTTGAATGAAGTGATTACTCAAATCAATTGCAATGAGTGTAGGAATGCGTGGCTTAAGAAACCGGAGTTCAAGTCCCACGTGAACGGCATATACTGTACGAATGGATTGGATTTAAATGATGAGAACAATTTTCCTGGGTGCTAATTGAATTTTTGTTATGATAATAATTATAAATTAAAATACAATATTATAAAAATTGACTTAATTATTTAATTTGTTTTTCATTTGCGTCTATAATTTGATTTCCTATAATTAATTTTTTAATTTAAAAAATCTTTATTAGATTAATGATAAATAAAATATAATACTATTATTGTGATCAATGTATTAATTTCAGCATTACTTTTTATAGTAACTTATTAATTAATACAGAAATACAACCATGCTTGTATCAATACGATATCAAACTAATTTAATAAAATTCTACTAGTATAATTTTATAATTAAACTTTATAAACTTAGTTAACTAGCATAAACTTTTTATATATTTAAAATTTTATTTTATTTTTAATATATAGCAATTTGCATTAATTGTCAATGATAAATTTATAGCCAATAGAGCTAGTTTCAAATGTAAATATTATTTCATTTTTTAAATTACATTCAAAGCGTTATTGGGTTTAACATTACGTTTACAGTATTGTATCAAACGGTTGACAGCAATGTCCGCATCACTCGATTCACGCATTTGTTCGCAAATATTCACAAATGTTTGCAATTTTGTCACAACATAGGGGTTCTGGTAATCAATTAAATATTATTAAAACTATTACTTAAAAAAGTTTGCAAAAATACTTGATTCAAATTAAAGCAGTTTTGATGGAAAGTATCCACAAGTTGTCGATAACAGAGTCTATTATTGAGCTCTCGTTTCGTATTGAGTATAGCATTGGTTTCGATGTTTGGCATTAAGTGTTGAATACTATTCACGTATTCAGTCATCGAGTTATCCACATATTGGCGACCCTTTAATATAGACTCCAATTCTTTGACATATCTATTAAAATAAAAAAATTATAAAAACAAACTTATTTTAAGCAATAATTTAAAAACAATTCATACATTTGTTTCTCATTGATATCATTCGTTGACTTAATATAGTTCTCCGCCATATATATGGGTATATCACTGATCTTAACGACATCCCAGTCCTCAATGGACGGGTAATCATGTGGTCTGTTCATTACATCGGATACTTTACGGAAACCTAACAAATCACAAAATAAAATATATGATACAAACACTTGACCTTGTTAATTATATAAATCTCCGTAAACTCTATTACCTTGGAATTGTGAGACAGGTAATTTGCCAATTGATAAATCACCATATTGCTGCACTTGTTGTGTACCATTAATAACAGTAGGGTTTGACTTATTAGCTGAATTAAATACAAACTCAAATTGTTCCTGCATAGTTTCCACCCGTAAATCAGCTGTCTCACTATTTTTGAACCAATAATAACTAAACAGACCACCTTGGTCGTACAAAACACAAAAATTAATCAAATAATTTAACCAATAAAATAATAGCACCTAGGCAGGCTTTATATTTCTCAAAGTCGCAAAATGCTTGCCAACTGTCCTGATTGGGTTTGGATGAGGCCATGGCGTATACGCCAATATTTTTGGGCAACATCTTGTCAAACATTGAGCCTGGTATTTACGGTGTAAATATTAGAATTGTTATAATTTATTCAATATATCTGATGTTGGAAAGCAAATTTAGGATTATATATAGGCTAAAAATTTTAATATTTGTCATTGATTTCGAGTAAAGTATAAAGTATTTTTAGCCTATATATAATCCTAAATTTGCTTTCCAACATCAGATATGAATACCTGATTCGCAAGTTTCCAAATAAAACACCAGTTTCTCAAACCGCTTGTTTTGGTGCATATCCTTTAGGGCGGTGTTAAGCTCCTCCCCATATAAGTACTCCTTTGGGAATACAATCAAATCTGAAACAAGGTAATTTTAGTTACATAAAAATAAAATTCATTATGTTACTTGAGCAGGTGGTTATATGTTACGTGACAATATTATGTGCTATCTCAAAAGTGTTCATAATTAATATAAAGTTATACTTAAGCTTATAATTTGGCAGGAAATATATTTTTAATTGAATTTATATTACCTGGTGATCCATGGTCGATGAAGTACACAAATATGTGATCATCAGGGCCACTATTTACCACCTTTTTACCTAGCTTGGCTAGCTCGGGGTCACCCTTAAGTACTGCCAAAAAGTTCTATAAATAGTTCAGCAATGTAGAAAAATTACAATTAATTATATAATTAAACTCATTTATGAACTTACATTAGGGTTGACATCATCGCCGGTATAATGTTTGGGAATGTCGTGGTATAGGTTTGGGCCATCAGGCTCATTAATTACAACACCAGGGTTCGGGTTCAATTTATTATTGGCAATATCATCATAGTGCATTATGATTATATTCTCATCCGGTATACCGTTAGCCCTAACCATTTGGTAGGCGTGGTATACATTGGCCTACAATGTAATAAAATAGTAATTATTAATTAAATATTAATTAATAACTATTAATTAATTAATTAATAAGATACATAAATATTTTTACAAATATCTAATTGAACTTACATGAATTGAGTAGTTATTCCAGCCAGTACCACCAGCGCATAGCACCACCCATATTTTGCCTTTAAACTCACCAGGCTTAACATTTGGTAGGGCATCAGCGGCCAATAATACGGCCACTAATACTATGCAAACAATTTTCATTGTTAAAAAGTTTGTAACAATATTTTTGTAAACTGTATAAACTTTTTACAATAATTATTATAAATTAAGTTATTATGGCATTTATATACAATTGATTATGACTTACCCCCTGTAATATTGTTGATTAATTGAACTACTCATGGGCACATTATGTTATTTAATCAAAATTAATCGAGATAGGATATTTTATTTCTTAGAAATTTTCAAGTACAATGCATAAAGCGTACAATGTGTACCTACAATTAAAGTTATTACATATAAAACTAAATATATTATGTAATATTTTAAAAACAATTTTATCATCATATGACTATAAGTTAGCTATATCAATTCTTATGGATTATTTATCAGATTCATACATTGAAACATAAAATATAATTAAAACTTCAGGCTAAACTATTATTATATATTTTACCGATATTTAATTTAATTTATTGTTTAATAAAATAATATTTATTTATATCACTAATAATACTTATAAGTATATTAATATTTCCTTGGTATTATAACAATTTATTCAAATAACTTAAACTTATTGTTAGCATAATATTGATTTTACAAAATTAAACCCGATCATTAGATTTAGTAACCTCATATTTAACAGGGTTATTTTTTAAATAAATAATTTGATAATTGCATTTAATACTTCCACTTCGACACTAATATCAGGGTCAGTGCAATATTTGTCAAACTTACTAATTTCATTGACAATAAGTTTCATAATTTTATATTTTCTAAATACACACATTTGTATCCACGCGTTATACAAATGTATTGACACCACAAATAACGTCATTAAATAAATAATAAACGAATCGCAGTTTACGTAAAACATGAATAATGGTAATGTAATTGTCATGGTGAATATTGACAATATCATATACTTTAAAAAGTTTATATTTTTCTCTAACAATATATCGAAATGAATGAATGCATTAATTTTTTGTTGACAATCAATTACGTCAGTTATTGTTGGTTTGTTATGTTTATTAAAATTTTTATTTATTAATAATTTATAGTAATTATCCAGGATCTCGATAAATTTTATGTTAAATTCATAATAAATTAATTGTTTAGCAATAAAAAAATCCAACTAGGTGAAGCGATAATTGGACATACGTTGCACAAAATTAACAGGCACATTGAACATAGTAAATATATCGTTGACAACTTGTTGATAGCTTACAGTAATTGTTAGTAAAGTTAAATATTTAGTTAGTATTATAGCGAATATAATACAAAAATGATGTTGATTATTATTTACTCTAGTCGAATTTAGAACTTGGTAATTTTTTAGTTCTTTATAAAAATTAAATATTTTTTGTGAGCGAACTTTTACAAATAAATACGACATTAACATTGAAAATGAATAGATAATCATCAGAAAATTAATTGTTATCATGGTCCAATTATCATGCATAAATTATCATGGCAATACGTGAATAGTCCAGTTTTATCGTAGTGGCAAAATGCTTGCCTACTTATTTGACCCAGTGGGGACGAGGTTATAGCATATACATTTATGTTGCTAGGTAATAATTTGTCAAATATAGAACCTACGCAAATTAGATTAATCAAAATGATTACTTAATTAATTGACCTACCTGATTCGCACGATTCCAAATAAAATACTAGTTTAGCGTATCTATTGTTTCTATGCATATCTATGAGTGCGTTATTTAGATCAGTAGCCATTAATTTATCATCCAGGAACTCGGTATAGCCTAAAATTATTCAAAAATTATCATGCTAACACAGATCATACCAAAAATACTTTACCAGGATCACCATGAGCCAGTACATAAACAAATATATGATCGTTTGGACCGCTATTCACAACTCTTTTACCCTGTTTAGCTAACCCACGATCACCTTTTAATATACCCAAAAAGTTCTGCACACAAAATTGACCATGTTACAACTATTTTATTTTCAAAACTCCACATACCTTAGGGTTAACATCAGCGCCGGTATAATGTTTAGGAACTCCACGATAGACATCAGTGCCGTTCAACACATTAGTGACAATACCGGGGGTGGGGTTCAGGGGGTTGTGTGTGATGTCGTCGTAATGCATGACTATTATGCGCTCATCGGGTATACCATTGGCGCGCATTTCATGGTAGGCGTGGTATACACTCGCCTATTCAGGGTAACCCAAAATAGAGGGTAAAAATGTTTTATAAAACTATTACAAACTATTGGATACTTACGGTTACGGCATAATTCTCCCATCCCTTGGCACCGGCGCATAGCACTACCCATATATCACCGGTAAAATTAGCATGGTCGTACACTGGTAGGGTATTGGTGTGTGAATAAAATAATGAAAATAATAAGTATAATAATTTCATAATTAGTGCTTGCTATAAGTATCCAGTATAATTAAATGTTAATTTAATGTTAAAGTTATTTTATTTTTATAGTGTTTGCTTACAGTTGTTTAAATGAGCATGTTTGTTTTATCTCATGGGAATTTAGCGTATGATTAAATCACGTCACGATATACTTTGTGTACCTTGATAACAATAATCAATTGCATTACTTGAGACTAATTAATTTTTAATTGATTTATTATATAATATTAGATATATTTACATTTATACAATAATAACGTGTTAATACATTTGTTACGCAGGTCACTTAAGAGCCAGAATATTCTACAAAATAACCTGGAACATAATCTTAACCTCAAATAAGGTTAAGTTAATAATAAAAATAAATTTAATTTTCACTAACAAACCGGATCGCTATTTAAATTCAATATATAA